GTTTCTAGCTTGGTCAAGCCATTCATGGAAGGATGGTGACCTGAAGAGTAACCTCGAAAATCCAGGTTCGAACCCACTGACGCGGAGCCAATACTTGCATGATACGTATGACCCGAGTGGCCAGCTGGCGCTGGTGGAGGATTCGAGGTGTTCACCATTCCCAAGGAAGCCCCATCGATATGGCTGATGGTATTTGCTCTGGGACGCATGTTACTGGAGTTACTAGCGATTGAGTTCTTGCGAACCCGGTTCGCTCCAGTGGATGCGCCTCCCGTGCTCTCTCGTCGACCATTTCTGGGACGTGATGATGGCGTTGTAGTCATGTGTAGCTTCTGCTGATGTCTGAGAAGGAGATCCCGACGAGCGAAACAACGCGCGCATTCGGGGCATTCAAAGGGCTTTTCTTTGGTATGCGAGCGCTCATGACGCTTGAGGTGCTCCAAGCGAGCGAAAGACCGGCCACAGGTCGTACATCCATGAGGGCGGGGCTTGTCAGTCTTGGGGGGAGGCACATTATTTTTGGAATCAGATTGGCCGTTGGACTCCTTCTTCGAGTCCTCTTTGGAGGCAGCTGGTCTTGTTAGGATTCACGGATAGATAAGCATACTCCTCGAAGAACATAAGCTCACCAGGCACATCGACCGGGACCTCGCTGATACTAGCAAGGTCCTCCACCTTGGGGCTCGTGGCCGGGTCCTGGCCGACCATTGTATCTAGTAACATCCTAAGAACGTTCTTCTGTATTGTGGGGAACCAGTTACGAAAGCACTGGTTGCGGGGGCGGGGTCTCGAATAGCGCGAGGTGGGGGTTTTATTTATGAGGTGAATGAAGACGACAAAGCACTGCCAAGAGAGGAAGGACAGTAGACGTGACGAAAGGAAGCTACTGGTGAAGATGGCGAACGATATGCGACATTGACAGCATTCTGATTCAATGAGATCAGAGTTAGCTTGGTTCGTTGTCCGGACAAAAGATGCAGCGAATAGAATGCAGCAATGCCACGGGAAGCTCACCAAGTCAGGACAGAAGTCGGGGAGAAGAACAAACAAGAAGGCCGTTATTCGGGGGGGTTAGTAGTTTCGAGGTAGGTTGAAGGAATAGAAATTGTGGGCGGCGATAACTTGATAAAGTGTAGACGATTAACAGGATCACCGTTACAAAGGAATTAGACCAAGTGGGTGTGGTGTGGGTGGCGAAGTGGCTCCGTTCCTGGGGGGGAGAGGCAATCGATCTCGGGATTAGCAACTGTAATCAGCAGGGGTTGAGTTTCCAGGCTCCAGGGGAAACCCACGGGTGGCTACTCACCAAGCTCTGCGCACGGAAAGACTCGTGAGGATGGACTAAATCACCCACGAATGCCAGAGACCATTGGACCTGGATTCCTTAGACGAGGATTGTGGTATAGGATAGGATGGAGGTCAGTTGCGCGGGCATGCGCCGCGATGGTGGTGTGAGTCGGTGGATAAGCCGGAGATAGCCGACTGCTGAGCTACTAGTAGTAGCTGTGCTTCAATCAATTGCTGATAAGCAGACAAGAGGGCGGTATGTGGCCCGAAGAATAGCTCAGAAGGAAGAGAAGAAAGGCACACTTTGGGGTTGGGGATATGGGGAGAAGGGGGTAATATGAAAGTAAAAGAAAAAAGAATAGTAGTAGTAGTTGTTGTTGTAGTGGTGGTTAGATAGATGTAATTAAGAGGGATGAAAGGTGAGCAGGAAGGATGACTGAGGAATGGGGGATGGGGGAATGAGCGTGGATTGGGTGATGGTAAGGCTGTACTCTCCGAGGGGTGTCAGTACGAGCAGGAACCGCAGCAGTTAGTGGCTTCTGCCGCAGCAAGGAAACGCCCTAGTAGTCTGGCTGTTGCACGGGGAGCACCAGAACTGAACAACTCGCAGGATCGTTCGCAGTGGTTCTTTTTCTTTTCCTTTCTTTTCTTTCTGTTCTTTTTTCCTTTTCAACTCAACTCACTCAACTGGTACATGCTCCGAGCAGCTGGTCGGGTTATCTAGTGGCAGGTCGATGGTATGTCGTAAGCAGGCGCGGTCCATTCACCTGCTAAACCAACTAGTTAGCTAGTCATCTCCAATTGCCAGATATGTCATTTCGTTTCGATTTATTACTCCATATTATTTCCTGAAGTATTGGGATCGCTCCCTCCGGTTACGAACAGACCAGCCTAGCCTCCCAACTAAATGATGGCCGGACTACAACCTACCTTACCACCTTAAGCTACCCAGGCTGAGGTGACCTTTTTTTTTTTTTTTTTTTTTTTCCTTTCTTCCCCTTCCTTTTTCAATTTTTCTTTTTCTATTTTGCAACCTACGTTTTACCAGCTTGAGCAGTGAGAGGCCCGTCTAATTAACTAAACTTACCCCGGCGAATGTTGCCGGACAAACCCACGAAACAGCATCCAGCTTTAGTCACGGCCGGGCAGCCAATAATGGACCGTGACGGGAAACGGAGTGGGCCGGGTGGCTCTGGTCCGGCGTGCTTTGGGAGGGAAAGCATGGGCCATGACAGGGCCAGAGCCAGAAAGCGGGCCCCACAACCCAGTCACGGGGGAGTGGATGCTGTCCCAGCCCACAATACGGTTACATCCCGGCCGCACGTATTGTAATTTCGTATCTCCTGGGTATTCGCACGTCACGCAGGTCTCTCTCCGATCACTTACTTCCTGGGTAGTAGTATCTAGAGTTACTTACTTCCCTTGCTAGTGGGATGATTGCTAGTAAGCTAACTAATTAACTAACTAGCCAGCTAGAGAGACAGAGGAAGAGAGCTATCTACGTAGACCGCGACCTGGCCATCTGAGCCCGTCCGATGGCCGGTGGAATGATCCTAATTACGACACACACCGTCGTCTAGAATGTCAACGATGGCCCTTCGGCAGGGGACACGGCCGAGAGTTCAAGGCAATAACAAGGAGGCAGAAGAAGGAATAGGCCTGAGGATAGACTAGTCGTGCATGGCCGGCTTCGTCAAGATCAATCAATTCCCTCTCATTGTCTTGAGGACAACTTCCAATGAGATATGGAATACGAAGCACTAGCAACGATGGCTATATCGTTATTTTTATCCTGGTTACATTCTATGAAGACACACTAGTAGGATGAGTGGTCTGGTACCTAGCTAGGCCTGCATAAGTTGTGTTCTACTTCAGAATGTTGGTGTTGTCGGTTGTTTGAGACAGTATCCTTCGTGTTTGTCGACGGTACTCTTGCTTGCTCTGTTCAATCTTTTAGAAAGTGACTGGTGTAGGAGCTCAAATGCTCGCTGTGGCTTGGTGAGAGGGTTTCGAATTCATCCAAGCTGGAGCTGTTGTGTTTGTCGCTGGAGATCTCTAGAAAAGGGCGCCGGAGTTTACAGGATGAGCACAGAGCAAGACTCGAACACTAGGGCCAGTTTGCTGCAGTTTTAGTTGATCAGGGGTTTTTTTTTTTTTTTTTTTTTTTTTTTTTTTTTTTTTTCAAATCATAGCATAGTCAATTAGCCTGTGCTGCTTGCTAGAATATTGCACCCATTCGATATACAACATAAAGTCTGTGTGGTGAATTGAGTTCAGTCTGGTCTGTCACGAAAGAGGTAAAGCAGGTAATGCCATTCGGAGACAACACAAACACAGCCTTGCTTTTCTAGAACCTCGTATGCTCTTCTGGGTCCTTGAAGCATCCAGAGAATCCCGACGACGCAAGCAGCTAATGAATCCACAATGGGTTGCTCGCCAAGAGACGACTCTAGATAGAAGATTTATGATTATCTCGCGTTACTTACAGCGTTTCTTTTTCAAACCGGCCACTGTCACTTATCATCGGCAAATGTAATGCAGATTAGATTACCGGTGAGTTGGTGTGTCACTACTAAAAGTCAAGGGTGCTTCAGGCTACCGGACTAGTATGCAGACTAACTGGATCAGGCAGACTCACGGGCTGCAGGCCGATTGTGGCTGGTCCTGCTTTTTTGGTGTGCGACCTGGGGTTATTATTGATACGGCGCGCAGGTAACATTGACGCTGGTGAAAGGGTAAGATATGGTAAGACCGTAAGAGAACCATACCGGTTCGGTCTCCAGGCCGTTATTTGGCCCGTCTTAGCCTCTTGGGTCATTTCTCTCGGCAGGAGCCAGAGTTCAGGGTGGAAATTCAACCCCAGACCTCGTGACTGCCCGGATCGGCCACTATTGCCTCCGGGTTTAGCAGGAGCCACGATGGAAGCGAGATCCGTCATCCGTATGGGGTAGGGAATAAAGAGGGAAAAGAAACCACGTCGACGGGTCGGCTGGTTGGGGTTGGAGGGAAACCATTAAACCTTCGACGGCTACGCCCGAGTCGGTGGGCTGCCTAGCCCTGCTTAACTGCTTACATCTGTGGTGGCGGCTGGCGCCGCTTCAAAAACCCCCCAATCAGGGTAATGGAGGGAAACAATGGAACTGATCGTAATCAATCGCAGCTGGCGCCAATTTGGCAGGTAGGAAGGAAGACGTTGGGGGGTGGAGAGACAGGAAAAGGAAGGACCGGTTGCGAGCTTGGAGCACTGGACCATTCTCTAGTCTAAGTCAGTCAGTCAGTCAGTCAGTCAGTCAGTCTATCTACCTCCTGCACTAGTCTCACGACCGGACCGCAGCATGGAAAACCGAGCCTGCGCCATTTTGTGGGGAGGACGAATGAGAAGGTTCAAGGTTCGTGTGGGGGATTTCCCTGGATCCAGCGGGTATTTTGCCAATCGTATCCGTTCGATCCGTTGCTGCGGGTGGGACCCCTGAGGTCATTCCACCGGCTGGAAAGTGAGAGCTGCCTGGAGGGAAAGACAGACGAATGACTGTTTGGAGAGCTGCAAAGTAGGGTACCAAGCTGATACCTCATCGTGTTCACAAAGTGTTGGGAAGTCAAAGTCGCTAAGACCGTACCAATTCCGACAAACGAGAATGGCCGTTACTCCCCCCCCCAGCCATCTTTCCTTCAAGATGGAACGCAGATGCGCCTAGGCATCCAACTACCTAGGTTCATCCTTCCTCGCTTCCATCGGGCGGTGTCCAATTTTGGTCCCAGCTACTAAGGTTAATCGACGACTTCTTTTTTTTGTTCGGTTTCACCTCATCTTCCGCGACGTCCCCATCGGGCAGTTGATCGTTGCCTAGTGGAGTATCTTTCCCTGTCAAGCGGATGACGATGAAGACTTGGCAAAAAGCCGTGGGCGAAATAATCCGGAGCCCATCGGTTGCACTAGTTAATAGCTTCCGACATTCCACCGCCCGTTGATTGGATTTGAGCGCCGGCCATAGCTGATCATCTTGGTCAGTTTCCCCAAAGACTGGCGTCCCCTGAAGCACTGGGGTCGGTTCCCTAGGAACAGCGCGTTCGCCCTCGATTTCCGGGAACGGACAACCAACCAACACGAGTAATCCCTCCAAAGTATCGGGTCCACGTTGGTCGCATTGGCCAATCTCGTCTCGAATTTCAAAGAGGTCACTGGCGCACGCGAGTTTGACTTTCATGCTAAATTGTCTGAGCATGGGTATCGTCGCTATTCCGAGGCAGGCCCAAACACCACACTAATTAGAGTGTCCACGCATTATGCACAAGCGACTGTCCAGTCTTATCCAGGATGTGCATGGGGGGAGTGCGGATGGTTGCGGACCTGCTGACTGTCAACTTTAACGGGCGGTTGTTGGTCGCACGACCGCTGTGCCGTCGCAATGAGAACTGATTTAGAACAGAACTCCCAGTATCAAGTAAAAATTCAGCAGATACGGTTCCTGTGCCTTCAACCGATAAATTCCAGTCATGGATTATAGAAGCGCGATCTACAGAATGAAAGCTATACTCCGAGCGGCATACAAAAGCTCGTCCTGCTGGAGCCTGTGAAATCTCTGTAAAGTGCCAGCGACTTACAACAACAAGCGCACAAAAGAAACATCCCATGTACTTACCGGGTTGCTAACATGATTTGAAGTCCCTATGGAACCAAGATTCCATGCAGCGTTAAGGTATGGTGTTGCGTGGTAACCTATAGAGCTGCACTGCACGAGGATCCCATTTATCCAGGATTAGCCGCCTACCTTTGCTGCCGACGTGAGTGCTACAATGACCGATTGGTTGAACATGTCTGGCAACATCCCACGTTATGACGTCTATGGGCTTGCAGACAGAAAGTTGAACAATGATTGCTGGCAGTGAAGGTGTTTGAGGACAGCTTCCATGCATGGATCTAGCACGGGGTCCATGGTCCGTCTACGATACGTCGACGGTGGGATATGCAAGATTTTATCCGCGCATTGTAAATGAAGACTGTAGGAGAATCTCAGAATTCTAGGATCATGGCTTGAGAATGGGACGTTGTCGACCGGTGTTGCACAATCCTATCGAAACGAGCAGTATGACTCGGGCGAAGCATAATTCATCGCACCCATGGATAGCGGACACGTAGGAGTGAGCTGAGCTCGCCAGCGGTTCTTACACCCTTCCGAAGTCAGTTCCTTCAGTTCTTTCATCGCACGGTCCCTCGGTCTCTGTCTGGCTGACCACAGACCCTCGACACCTGAGGCCACCGACAGCTCAAGCGCCATTTAGTGCGGTGTCAGGTGGTGCACCGGTGGTATTATTGGTATTGATCGAGCAGGTACGCAATACCCTGGATCTACACACACGCATCGTCACCACCAGGACCAGCTACTACTGCTAAAGCCCGAGAAAGAAATGGGTAGTCGGCAGGACGCTAGCATCCCCTTATATACAGGTACCAATTGCGGAGATGCCAATCATCACGTTGGTGTTGCCGCAACCTTCGATCCGCCGTCAAGGTTACCGAGGAACGATACGTTAGTACACCTGTCAGAAACCGAGTAATCCGAACCTAACCAGTCTGGGGTCCCGTTGCGGAAGATCTCCTACCAGTGCCTCCTTAGCGCTCTACTGGAGACGGCTGGTCCGAGGGCGTTGTGGGTTAGGGGCGGGTGCGATCGTGTTACTATACGACTTGATGCATCTGAGATTCACCAGCCCCCATGAATCCCCAGAGGAAAACAAGAAACGAGACCTCCCTGCTTTTCCGCGAGATGCGACGAACGCTGTGCTATACAGACGTCAACTAGCGATGCGGATACCTAGAGCCGCCCGACTCGAGCGTGTACATATGCGAAGCTGCCGACGATCTGAGACGCATCCAGAGGACGTGTGGCACAGATGATAGGCGCATGAAGCATCACCCTAGTAATCCGAGCAAGCTTGGCAACAGGATACAGACAGGGATCCAGCAACGGGTGTCACGGACCACTATGATCCGATATGGTGCACTGCAGCGTCATCAGCCCTCCTGTGCTCCGTACGGACGACTACCCATCCATACGAAGCATAGAACAATCGCATTGTCGATCCTGCACGACGCGAGTAACAGGCAGCCTGAGAAGAAAAATCTCCGAAGGCGTGCATGGCGATCGTGGAATACAGGCGCCTTGGGTGGTCTTTGCTCGAGCGGATATGCAAGATGGCATCATGGGCGCGAGATAACTTCTGCACGGGCTGTGGGACTCGTCACAGAAGTAATAATACTCACAGGATAAGGCTGTAAGCACCGAGTCGAGGTACCCAGCTTGTCCTCACCGGGATCTCACGCGTGCTGTCTTCGCGGGTACTCCAGGGATGCTAACCACCGTTTGGCGCAGGCTGTGTAATGAGGGATATTCTAGTAGCCCCGGTCGACTTTGGGATACAATGTGCCCTTGATCTAGGTGCTGAATAGCTGTTACATGCTCTGGTCGACCACAGGGGGGCACAGAACGCCTCTAGGGCTGATTTGCTATCAGATGGCCGGATATAACTCCCTAATTACGGGCGACTGAAGTAGTAGCACGCCATTCCTTTGTAGCTCCGACAACCCCCCCATGGCCGAGTAAATTAAGGACCGGGATGATGATAGGCCCGCTGTCACTGCAGTTGTCCTTCTTATCCCACCCCACCAGTAGCGTCTCCACTCTTCAACATTGACCAGTAATTGCAGTCCGTCACGATGTGGTGTTGCACTGGCCGGTGGGCATCTCTCCACCCTGCAATTGGCACGGGAGGCCCCCCCCTCCACATTGTTTTTGGCGTGTTGGAATAGTAGCCAATTGTCTTCTAGTCGGTCTCCCACACCATCGCCTTAATCATCTAGGCCCAGACATACTAGTAAATAAGTAGCAACGTGCGACAGTGACGAGATTAATAATACACCTTCGAAGTGTGATTCGATCATTGAAGGTAAGTGACCAACAATTCGGTGGTTGGAGTAATAATAATACCTCGCTGACTTGCACTCCAATGACCCCATCCGGTCTAGTAAAATGTGATTGTCAACCACAGTATACTATACCTATCTGGACTAACTATCCACTTTTCTATGTATGCAATATGTCCGCGCTCTCCCATCTGTGGAGAAAGCTCCTCAACCTGAATGTTGCATGATATGTAACCTTGCCAGTTGCCAGTTGCCACTGCACATCCTCAAACCACAGCATTGAACAGCTACGATAGTAGTAAATATGGTGGGAAGCGCGCAACACACACAATAATACCCACTACTACTACGAACAACCAATAATCACCACCTCCTCACACCCACTACTACTTTACTAAACAGGGATTCCCCCAGTTAGCGCACACAACACACAAGCCCATTGAAAAGCTGACTTCGACCGTTCCTGGTGCTACGCGGTCTCACCCTAGGCAACATAAGACCTACAGTAGTGTTATGCAGCCAACAAAAGTAATTGAAATTTGCGCGCTATTCATTCCCTCTTTCTCTTTTTATTTTAATTATTATTTTTTTTCTCTCGATAATTGCTTTTCCAGGCTACCTACCAGCTAGCCTAGACAAGCCTGTTTTGTAGTACCACCCCAAAGTAATTTTCTAAATTGCTAATGCAAGTCGCATCGTATCTAGATACATAATGGTATTATCCGCAGTTACTCCGAGGAGATAGCTTCTTGGCTTGTACAGTAAACTGCGTGTAAGTTTCACTATACTTGCTAGCAGTTGTATTATTATTATGTTTTTTTTTCTACTCCAACCAGCTTGTGGAGTGGTGGAGCGGAACTGCGGCTGAGCCTTGACGATCCTGCACGCTACGGGAACGGGATTATGCTGGTTTTTTTCGTTGCTTGCTGTCTGTCTGTCTGGTTGTTGTTAGTTGTTCGGATGAGGGATATTTTGGGCCCCCAGAACGGTTGGTGTCGGATCACACTTTCTTTACTCTACTACGGAATGATACTCCATACTACTATTATTACTCTACGAGGGTTTTCGGATGGGTGTGGGATGTGATGGGATGATTTTCAATTGATTAGAAATTATCCATTCACCCATTCATTTATCTTACTTATTCCCATTGTAGGGGCAAAAAGTGGCTAGACTCCTAGACAAATAGGTAAGTCTACCTCGATAGCTCCCCACCACACCATACCTACACTTCTTATTCTTACTTCTTACTTCCGAGGTAGATAGATAGATAGATATTCATCCGTCTTTCCGTTCGCATGCGCACACACCTAAATTAGCGCCATAGCGCTGGGCCCCCTTCTAAAAGTCTTCCCGTGCCACGGGCCGCCGTGCAGAACGCGTTGCAGGAATGGAGAGGAAATTAAATAGATAGTACATACGGAGTAGATAGATAGGTAAGGAAGGTATCCACGTCCGCACACACGCGCCCGGCCGCCCGTCATTTGGACCAGCCCACCACACCTACTTGCCTTCTTACTGCAGTTTAGCTAGTAGCTACTAAGTTAGTAAAAAAGACCGGTTGGATGCACGGGCCTTTGGGTGGTCCCTGCATGTGGAATGGGAAAGTTACTACTATGTTATTTATTGGGTTATACGGTATTGGGTGGGTGATGGGTGATCGGATGATGGATGATGGATTATAAATGATGGGTGCGTGGTAGTAGGGAGGAGGAGGAGTATTTCAACTATGTCCAAGTTGGTAGAAGTGAATATAGGGCACTGAATGAATGAATGAATGACTGCCTGGTGAACCTGGCTGAGACATTAAACCTGGTGCCAATGTATTTGGGTATGTATGTATGGTAATAAAGGGTACCGGCTGTATGCAATCAGGAGAAACGGAGATAAGCCGATCCTTTGTTCTGCGTGGTTATTCGATGTCACGGCCGAGTAGCACTTTGCTACTACTAACAAACTTACTAAGTTAACTAATTAATTTACTAGTAAGTTAGTTAGTGAATACTACTACTCGGGTCTGGCTGGACTGGACTGGACTGGACTGCTGCTATTGCTATTATTGTCTCAATTCTCATGCACTGCACCCGACTCTAGACTGCAGTTCCACTGTCACCTTCTTGATTCGGGATTCGCCTCCCTCCCTGCGTCTGAGATGGCCTATTCCCCTTGCCTTGTAGCTGTTATTTTTGGGAGATGTAACGAGGGATGTCATGGTTGTCGGATGAAGATTGCCGATCAGGTAGTCTAGTAGGTAGCTGGTGTGTATGTGTGTGCCAGCTGAGTCTGTTGTGGTGTGTGGTGGTGGTGACGGTAGTGGTGTGTTGAGGTATTTTCCCAGAGAAGTTTAACACTTACTCCCGATGTACTATTCCGGTAGCATATACTTCCTACTACTTCCTGTGTCTACCAGACAGTCTTACATCTACTTCCGCTGCAGAGAACGTCTGTTGACATTTACCGAACCTTGCAGAAGCCCATGCAATAATTTACATAACATTGCATACATAGAAGGGCTGTATTTCGCCGTGTTATAGATCTGGGCTGACGCGCTGCGCAGGTATGTCATCTGGCAGCAGAGGCTTGTTTGTCATTGTTTGTGGACTTTGCTGCGTGATTGGATATTGTGAGTATGGGGGGGAGAGGTCCTAAGTTGCTTCTTTTTGTAGTCTGTTTCTGCTTTGTTGGGAGGATAACATGGGGTAATTTCCTGGTCTATTGAGATAGGAAAGTCTATTCGGAGAGGATATATCTCTATTCAGATATTCGCTGTTGTACTTTGAACATATCTAATGAGCTCAGAGACCTTGATTGAAGGATCCATGAATATCACATGCTTCGGTTCGGTGGCTATTATATAGACAAAGATATAGAACAGGGATACTCGTGTCCACTTCTAATCTGTGAGATATTACGCATTGGCATAAACTATCTTTGCATAATTCAATGCATGAAACTACCTTAACATTGCATGTAGAGGATCTTATGTGCAACGTCTCCAAGACCAATGTTAAACAATGATGCGACTGCCTCAAACCCAAAGATTCATATTGTAGTGGTAGAATATCCCCTGAGTACATAAACAGTGCAGGAACTGCTGTTATCAACAGATACAATGCTAGGTGGCCCAATACTCAAGGTTATATAGCTACCTCAAGGGTCGCTGGGAGGTCCGACGACCATGATATACTCATATTCTATAGAATTTCCACAGTCAGACGCCTATATCTTTGAGCCGTGATCAAGAATGTTACACTGGATGGTGCTATCCTGCTAAGCTGAGTCAATGGAGCAGATTATCGGAGGTTATTCGGGACATAGAATAGTTTCATTCGGCATTGGATGACACATATGGATGCACGAACGTTTGGCTGGGACACAGACTTGTTGTTTGAAGGCCAGAGCATAGGGGATTGATGCAATGTATCTACAGAGCGGTTTAGATCAACAGAGCAGCATGGTCGAAAAGACCTAGAACGATGGCTCTTAAAACAAGTTTGCATATGATGAACACAGATATGTTGTGCTGAGAACTCCCAAACTTGGGATGTGAAATATGTCTTTTCTTGCTTGATAAATGACATCCACTAGCCATTGCACATATATCAAAAAACGGTATAAAGGCAACATATGTCCATTCAAATCTCATCGAAACCAGCGATCAAGGCCAATAGTACTCTTCCTCCTCCAACGCAGTCAGAAGCTTCGCATTCACCTTAACATAGCCATCATCCTTCAGCTCTGCAAAAACTTGATCAATCAACGAAGCCACCATTCCCCCAAACACTATGCTCCCCTCGTCGTTCAAATGTGTATAATCATCCGACGCCAAGTTGTACGTATACGCATCTGCCGGCCCAATACTATTCAAGTAGTCCGTACTGGCCTTGTTCAAATCGATATAAGACGTGTCGGTATTCTTCGCCGCTTCAATAGTCGCCGCTCGCTGGTCCGCCAAATTCTCAATTACGAGAGGCGTCCCAGTAGAATTATCATAGTTGCGACGAGACAAGGGCGTCACCAGGATAGGTGTGCCTCCTGCATTCTTGACATCTTTTGCGAATTGCTCCAGATTACTGGTGTATTCAGCTATAGAGATGTTCGCGGAGGCCTTCTGGTCGTTGTGGCCAAATTGGATGGTCACAAAAGCTCGGTAGTCGGACTTGTATTCTTCCACTTTAGAGAGGACAGTGGCCCAGTCACCTCCGGATCGGAAACTGACGGTTGTGGCTCCGTTGTGGCCGTAGTTTATACCTTTCGCTCCGTCATGAAGTGTCGTGTTGATGAAGCCATCGCCCCAGCCGCCTCCACCGCTGGATTGGACGGCGGTGGTGCTGTCGCCAGCTAGGAGGAAGAATGGAGGTATATCATTTCTCGATGAGAGGGGTGATGGAAGGGCGAGAGCGGAGGTCAAGAATACGGAAAGGAGAGAGAGCTTCATAGTGACTGCTGGGGATTCTTGTCTGTGAACCGGCGTAGGTCATTATGGGCAAGACACCACCAGCTGCTTTATATTGCATAGTACCCGGCATTCGAGCAAATGGAATGTAAACAATTCCACCAACAGGAAAAATAGCAAAGCCAAGACCTGCGTACAGGGCCGATGCAAATATGCAGATCTCACCGCGTTTCGTTGGTCGTGGGCAATGATACATTCGGGGTTTTGTCATTGGACAAAGAGAGCCAATGCAAGAATGAGTAGGGCAAGCCAAGTGTTTGCACCATCGAGTCAGTATGCAAGTCGGTATGCTTTGCACCGCGACTCCGAAGCCACAGGCATGGCGCTGGAATCAAATCCCGACGAAAAGAGGGGAAGTCACAGCCGCCTCCCAAGCCCGAGCGAGGATAATCCGGGGTAAACGGGGGGGAAGCTCTGAAGAATTGTGAGCAAGTGAATATAGGCCAAGTTGAAGGATATGTAGTAATACTGACCAACCTGGTTTTCATTGGCTTGAAATCATTCAAGCTGACCATATCCACCTGACAACCAGCAGACAAAGCATATATAAATATGAGTTTCGTCTGTCAGGATCGTGAACCACTGGAGGCTCGCGACTTCAGTAGGAAAATGTCGCACCTCATGGTTAAGACGATGTTAGGACTCCTTTTTGTTGAATCTTCATCCATTTTAGTGGAATTGTGCTGTGTGCGTGGATCGAGTCTGTCACACCTGCTTTCTTGCAATCTTTTGAAGCTGGCTGAAATCGCCAGTTCTTAATCACAGAGTAAAAGCAATCATAACTCAAATACAGATAAAGACGGAAACGATGGCGCGTGAGCTTATCACTTGGCGAGATTGGCATCGCCATCTCCTCCCTCTTTCGGCAACGTGATAACTCTGATAACATCGGCTGTCTTTCTGATTGATCGTCCGATAATCCAGCCTCTTATCGCGATCCGTGTCCTGCTCCTCCACGAATGGCATCACCCAGTATGCTTCCCCATACTTCTTCGCTGCAACTTTGCATTATCTCCATCTGCAAGTCAAGCTATACTTATCAATCCCTGCCGTCAATGCAGACAAACGTTAGAGTTTATAATGGATGGCCTCGCCGTCCACATCCACATTTCTGCCACAGTCAGCCATGGGAAAGTCAACCTCGGTAGCTAGCATATCCAGAGAGTCTGGAGACGATAGTCTCTCTCACACCGAAAATGGAACTGTCATTGAATACCACCAAACCAAGCGTGGGCTTTCATCGCGCCATGTGCAGCTAATGGCTATTGGAGGATCCATTGGAACGGGCTTATTTGTCGGCATCGGCTCTTACCTCCGTGATGCAGGGCCTTTGTCCCTGTTCTTGGGATATCTCTTCTATGGTTTACTGTTCATCTGGCCCACGAACCTTTGCGTGGGTGAGATGTGCGCCTACTTGCCAATCCGGGGATCAATATTCGAGTTGGCAGCACGGTACATCGACCCAGCATTCGGATTTGCAATGTACGGAGTCCCAACTCATCGTAGGATCTTGTACTGACATCTGTAGGGGCTGGGTATACTTCTACGGCGGACTCATGCTCCTCTGCACCGAATATTCAGCAGTGGCAACAGTCATGCAGTACTGGAACACCAGCGTCAACCCAGCCGTATGGGTTGCTATGGCAATGGTCGTGTGCTTCCTCCTAAATATCGTCGCCGTCAAATACTATGGCGAGACCGAATTCATCATGGCCTCCACCAAGATCCTCCTTCTTATCGGCCTCGTCCTTTTGACCTTCATCACCATGCTGGGCGGCAATCCCCACCACGACATCTACGGCTTCCGCAACTGGACGCACGGCGTCATGTACGAGTACTACACCACTGGCAGCACCGGCCGCTTCCTGGGCTGGTTCTCCGTCGTCATCTACGCCGCTTTCTCCGTCGCCGGACCCGACCTCCCGGCCCTGGCAGCCGGCGAGATCGAGAACCCACGCTTCACGATACCCCGCGTCGTCAAAATGACATTCTACCGCATCGTCGGCTTCTACGTTATTGGTGTCCTCGCTGTGAGCATCATCTGTTCCCCAAATGACCCGCGTCTCATCAGCGCCATCGAATCATCAGCTGCCGGATCCGCCGCCTCACCATGGGTGATTGGCATCCAGAACCTCGGCATCCACGGCCTCCCCGGCTTCATCAACTTCCTCATCCTCCTAGCCGGCTGGTCCTGCGGAAACGCCTACCTTTACGGCTCTAGCCGCACACTCTACTCCCTCGCACGCGATCACCAAGCCCCTGCCTTTCTCCTGAAATGCACCTCCGCCGGAGTTCCAATCAACTGCGTCCTTGTCGTCTCCCTCCTCTCCTGTATCACCTTCCTCGTCGCTGATACCTCTGCGGTAACGGTCTTCTACTGGTTCGTCGATCTCACCACCACCGCCTTTATCCTTACCTACACCGGCATGGTCTGCGTCTTCCTAGCCTGGTACCGTGCCCTCAAGGCACAGGGCATCGACCGCAAGACGTTCCTTCCCTGGGCATCGCCGTGTCAGCCGTACGCGGCTATCGTGGCATTGATCATCGGATGCTCGGTGACGCTGTTCAATGGGTTCACGGTATTCGTCCCGTTCAGTGTAGAGGGATTCGTGACTTCGTACTTCGGCGTGGCGTTTTGGGCGGTCATGTTTGTTTTTTGGAAAGTCTATCAGGGTACCGAGTTGGTGGATCCGGCAAAGGCTGATATACTCTCTGGGAAGGCTGAGGTGGATGATGAGTGTCGGGTTTGGGAGGATGGGGGGTTCTTGGAGAGAAGGAGGGCGGAGTTGGCTAGGATGCATTGGGTGAGGAGGTGGTGGGAGAAGATGTGGTAAGTTAGGTAAATAGATAGATGGCAGTATCTGAGAGGTATTTATCTGGGGATATTGGCTGTAACACTCGAACAAATGATAGGATAGGACTAGTGCTTGGAGGTTGAGGCACTGGTTGACTTCGGCTGATTGTTCTTCCACCATATCCTAGAGACCACTGCGAAGCGAGACACGAGGGCGTTGATATGTTCAGTGACGAGAATGATTATTATGAAATATCTATTGTATTTTAGGTTTTCTTAAAAGTGGATACCAAATCTGAGGTATAAACATTTGGAGAAAAGAGGTGAAGACTCGGGCTTACAAAGGTTGTCCGGAGTAGTATGTTCCGAGGATGATGTAGCATCAAGGCGACTGGACCTCAATCTACCAATCACAACCATGAGAGGCTACCTAAAGCAAAGTTCAAATACTAGATAAGCCATCAGAATTGATGATCTGAGACGCTTACCAATTCAAACGCATCTACGTCAACGTGGAACCTTACAGGCGCGGTCACCGGGTCTCAGCGAGAGTACTACATTTATATAAAATTCAACCGCATCATCATGAGAGAAGATCTGACTCTCAATTTTATCTTTCTCCAACCAAGACATTTTTAGAAGTTATTTACCTCCTGATATTTAGTTTCACCATGCCCTCACAAGCCTCCATCGTTCAATCCATCTACGATGAACGCAGCACCAACTACGACACCTCCCACCACGGCGCCCTAGCAGAAGCGTACATCCGCACCGCTACCCCCCGAGAAGGCGAATCTGTTCTTGACCTCGCCTGCGGCACAGGTCTTGTATCCTTCCTCGCGAGACAAGCAGTCGGAAAATTCGGCCTTGTTGTTGGGATTGATATCAGTCCTGGCATGCTGGACGTGGCTCGTCACAAAGCCCAGCAGACCGGTTCGGACGTCAGTTTTCTCCAACATGATATCTCTGATTTATCGGGTATTGGACTGGAGAAACTTCTTCCGCGCGGACAGGAGGGCTTCGATCTCATTACTTGTGCAGCGGCGTTGGTGTTGTTGCCTAATCCTGGCAGAGCAGTTAAGGGTTGGATGCAGTGGTTGAAGCCTGGTGGGAGGATCGTGACGGATGTGGCGGCGAGGGATGTTCATGTTCCTAGTAGAATTTTCAAGAAGATTAGTGGTGATTTGGGGGTGCAGCTTGTGTGGGATGAGAGTTGGGTACAGGGGGAATGGTCTTTAAGGGAGCTTCTTGAGGGCGCTGGATTGGTTGTCAAGACAGTTTTCTTGACGGAGTCGTTCCAGGATCGTGTTTATAATGCTTCTGATGCGGAGGATGTTTTTGGGAAGGCTGTTTCTAGTCCCATGTTCCGAAATTTTGGTGATTCGAGGGTCAGGAGTGAGGCAAAGAGGTTATTTGTCGAGAGGTTTGTTGTAGAAGCGGGTGCGAAGGGGGTGTTGGTCGATGAGGCGAAGATGTATATGGCTGTCGCGTATAGGTCGTAGAGACTTCTATTGTAATGATTCAATATTAGGGTATTTTTGTTGGAGGCCACACACTGGAGACTGGGTCTGGCAGTGCGATAGCACATGTCCGCGGGCAAGGGCTCTGAAACATTTTGGGCAGGAGGGGGTGACAGAATTATTGTGACACCAGGACTGTCTCTACCCACTTCAGGGAGCTGACATACTTACTATGGAGTTTGAAGGGCTTAGATGAGTGTCTTCCAGGCCTCGAATACTCAGCAAGTATCCGATCCAACACAATAACCTTGGTTGGTAGATAATGGGCCTCCTCTCTTTTTGTACCTATGCAAAGTAACCGTAGATAGATGGTCTCATACACAATCGAAAAAGAGAATCATGTTCCCCTTGATCTACTCGGATTGAATTACTCTCAAAGTGCGAATAGGACGACACTCGCATACATACTATGTGTCGAACTTACTTTCTACCAAGACTACTAGTAGTATATATTGGTGAACCTGTGTATAACACCGCATTCAAACATTACTAGCGAAGCTCAATGATAGAACACATGTATCAACAGCTTCGTACTACTCTTCATTGATAAATCTAGAAGCATAGACAGAATTTCTAGGCACGATACACCGCTTTTCCCGACCTACCGTAGCCGACAGTTCAAAAATAGCGGGCATTGGGAGGTACCTAAGTTTACAGGTGCATAGTTTGTGAATGTTGATGTTTGGCCATCTAAGGGCATAGCACCTGATCTCGTTGTCTTCTTCGTGTCTCCTTATCTGTGTGCACGTTTGCTGGATCAGCAACGAAATTCACAATTCGAACCGGTCTGACTCTAATATTATTTACTTCAGGGGCGTCGTCGGTCGACATACCACCATTGCAATTACTGAAAGACG